TTTCCTTTTCTTTGATAATCTGGCTACCTGTCCTTTGCCCTGGTCTCAGAACTTGGGTTGGAATTCCCAGAGACCCATAAAGTGAATTCACTTCCAGAGTCTTTCTGATCTGCCAGGTGTCTCTAATGCTGTGTTCTTGACTAGATTTTAATCCCTTCAGGGAAGAGGCCAAGTCAAACTGGTACCTTGCTCCCTGTAGCCATCATTCTTGCTTGGTACATGGAAACTGCTACAGAGTTCTACGGACAAAACAGATACAGATAGATGGATAGTACATGATGGGTGGATGATCAGTTAGTAGGATGGATGGAAAGAGAAAGGATTCATGGGCTACCCAATGTGTTCAGGTGCACACTCATCTCCCAGGAGATGGAGAAACAGTGAGAATCCATGTACTGAGTGCCTATTATGAGTGTATGCACATTATTTCAGTGCAATTTCTGAAAAGTTCTCAAACTTAGCTGGAACTCTATGTATTTTCAGAAAAGAAAATTTGGAGTCCGAAATTAAACAACGGGGCTGGGGATGTGGCTCAAGCAGTAGCGCGCTCACAGGGCATGTGTGTGGCCCGGGTTTAATCCTCAGCACCACATACAAACAAAGATGTTGTGTCTGCCGAAAACTAAAAAATAAATATTAAAAAATTCTCTCTCTCTCTCTCTCTCTAAAAAAAAAAAAGAAAAGAAAAAAGAAATTAAACAATGTACTGAGTTCACCTACCCCAAGAGGAAAGTAGTGATTTCTCTGTAAGTCAGCCTTCTATATGGTAGGGGGTGGAAACCAGCTCAGAGACATACCTCTTTTAACCTACTACTGGAATTGTTGTAGATTATAGTCCTTTCAAAACAAGCCCATATTCTTTTTTAATATATATTTTTTTAGTTATACATAGGCACAATATCTTTATTTTGTTTATTTACTTTCATGTGGTGCTGAGGATCGAACCCAGGGTCTCACATGTGGGAGGTGAGTGCTCTACTGCGGAGCCACAACCCTAACCCCCAAGCCCATATTCTTAATGAAGCAAATATCCTTATTCTAGTTTTCAATTCACTCATTTTGGGGGATGTCAAGGAAAAAGCAAGAGACAATTTTATCATTTTGTTGTTGTTGTTTTTGTTTCTCATGAAGCCCCTGAAAAGCTGCTCATGAATTCTATGTCTCCTAGCTCCCTCTGCTTCTCATCTTCAGGTGGCTATAGGACTCTGGTTGGGAAAATATGGAAATTTCCTCAGAGAGAAGCATAGAAGGAGGGGAGGGTTCCAAGCTGGAGTGGAAAAGGCCTGACCTGGAACCAGAGGAGTGCAAATAACCCACACTGAAGTGTGTGAGCAGGAGGTGGCCATCCCTCCTCACCTTTAGTGTGTCCTCTGCAGTAGGACACCAGGAGCTGTCCCCAGGTGGTTGTGGTAATAGGGGATAGAAGATGCCCAGATCCTACCAGAGAGAATGCACTGTGTTCTCAGCTCTTGTGTTTTTCACATCAGAGGGTTTCAAGCAAGACCTAAGACTTAGTGAACGTATAGCTAAGTTTATTAGAGGAGAAACAAGGGGAAAGAAGCACCCTCAAGGGAGAGAGAGGAGAAAGCAAAAGCACACTTGTTTGTGTCCCAGCTTCTATTGGAGTGGGAGAGAGGTTTTAGAAGATACCACAGAGGTATTGCCTCTGGCCTCTGGATCGATACACTACATTAGCTAACAACCTAACAGCAACTCTTGGTTATCTTGGCCTCACTGACAGGTCTTAATTAGGTCTAGCTTTACAAGATTTAAGGTCAGGGGGCTCCAGTCTTAATCATCCTGCTTTCCTCGGCCTGGAAATCTCTGGTGTGTGTTGTTTGTGTAGGGCCTTGTTGAAGATGTCTTAGCAGTTGAGCCCTCTGAGCAAACATATGCTTGCTTTTTGTGGTTTTTTTGGCCCTTGAATTCATCTATCTTCCTCCATTTTAGGAGGAATAGGTTATAGAGCTGAGACCAGGCAAGGGTCCTGAAATAGCCATCCTGTCAGACATTGCCGCTCCAATGAGGCAGAACTGTGATGAACCATTTCATACTGTCCTAAACTCCTGACCCACTGCTCATATCCATCTCTTGCCTAACAGTCATGGAGGGGACACTCATTGACTATGAGTGAGGAACTTGTATGGGACCCCAGCAAAGCATCCAGTCTCTTGGTCCCACTTTGTCCAATCAGCAAAACTTTATGGGGACCTCTGTCCCAGTCTTGGCCTGGCCTTTGAATGCCTCACATTCAGAAGCTGGAGAAAGTCACTTAAAAGAAAGAGCATCATGATAGAGCCTTATGTAAGGTAAAACTCATCACCCTGTGTAACAGGATCCAAACAACAGCTGAGGGAGCCCAGTGTGAGGATGAAGATGATGTGGTCCTGTGAACTCAGCTCCTGAGCAGCTCAACATGCCTGGCACAAGTGTGAGCCTCACTCTCCTTCCCTTGTGCTGAACACGCCTCCTCCACTTCCCTCATACACACAATGGACTTCCTAACAGACTGAGAGTTAATTCAATGTTTCTAAAGGATTATACTTCATAAAGTTTAGATTTTTGTGTGCCATAATTTAAAATGTGAATATTTTATTTTATAATGTGATATTTTAAAATGTGATACCTAAAATTCAATCACACACAATTTTTCAGAAGTACTTCTAATGGTAAAGACAAGTATATTCTTGTGTTAAACTCAATGTCAAAACTTTGCAAGAAGACAGAATGTTTTATAATAGAACTTCAGATGAAGTGTAACCATCTTCCCTTGAAGTCCTCTCATTAGGACTCCTGCTTTCAGTGGGTCTCCTGTGATTGTATTCACACTCATGACAGTAAAGTCACCTCAGTTCCAGGAGCCACTTATTTTCATTCTCTGATTCTTCGCTGTGCTCCCCACCCCCCCCCCCAGCAGCCTGAGACACAGCCAGGGCCATTGAAGCTCCTTCACTGGATGCCATCAGTCTGTCTAGTACCACTTACAATGGCCATCTGAGCACACATATGCACACACTCCTATGCACACTCCATACACAAAACTGAAGTGGAACTCTCTCCAAACATTGCTTACCCTTTCCGCACCCTGATATTTGCTGTTCCTTTCTGATTCATTTACAAAATTAATGGATCTCACAATCCACAGAAGGATTGCATATTTTGAAAATCAATAACAGAAATTCAAGCCTAGACTTTGGTTTTGAACAGAGGTGAGTTTGAACTCTGGTTCATCACTTCATATGGGCAAGTTCTTTTAGAAACCACATCATCCCCAACTATAAAATGATCACATTCTATGAAGTCCCCTGAGGATTAGTTTCTTTTAGGTTAAACTTGTGATAAATTTGTGGCATTCTGAGAGTGTGGCTGGCATTGAACAAATGTTATCGTCAAGTGAAGGTAGCTCCATCCCTTTGCTAGATCACACAAAAAGCTGTAGAGTGTGGCATTCCAAAAAAGAAAGGAATCAGCAACCTCTGCCTCTGGGAGGAACTGGGACTTTGTGAGCTACAAGTGAACAAATCCTGAGCCCTCATTTCTACTTCTGATGCAATGCAGCCTAACAGCCAAAGGACTGAACAGTGACTTTGCTCCTCTTGGTCCTTGCTGTTGGTGGCATCCTGATTTCAGAGCCTTCACAAATTCTCAAGGCCTTCACCTGTGTGGTTCTAGACCCTCCTTGTTCTTGTTTCATGTCCCCTGGTGTCTTTGGTGTGACTGGACATTACATTTCACTTCCATGAGGCTCAGTTTCATGAACTGAAGAGTGCAGATTAAACACAACTGATATCAAAGCTGTCTGAATATCAAAAACATGATTATCAAATGAGATTTGTATTGGGGTGGGCTCTGGAAGTTTTCAATAAATTCTGGTTCTTTCTCTTCCCACTAACATCCTCTACCATCCATGGTGACCAATGAGCCTGCCAAGAATAGTCACATTTAACTAATGGGGACATGAGACTGGTTTGGTGCAATCTGAGGGTGGCTACTGATGGGTAACCCATTGGACCTAGGTGTATATTCCAAGAACTTCTCCCACCCTGTCACAAAGAAGGCAGGTCTTTCTTTTGTATAGCTGGTGGTGTTCTACCGTACATCTGAAAGTATGTTTTTTGATATGATGGTCTGGAAACCTTCAATCCCTGTTCACTGCTTCTTCTGGAAAAGTCCAGTGGCTTGAGGAAAATTGCTGAGGAAAAGAAAAAAGATTTATTGAAGGGCTGGGGATGTGGCTCAAGCTGTAGCGTGCTCGCCTGGCATGCGTGCGACCTGGGTTCGATCCTCAGCACCACATACCAACAAAGATGTTGTGTCTGCTGAGAACTAAAAAATAAATATTAAAAAAATTCTCTCTCTCTCTCTCTCTCTCTCTCTCTCCTCTCTCACTCTCTCTTAAAAAAAAAGATTTATTGAAAATGTAGCAAATCAAAGGCTACTTCCAACAAAGACCATGTTGCATAGGGTTCCAAGTGCAGGACTTGTTCTGGGAGTTGTAGGAAGTACATCACAGAAGCAGGTGCCAGTGTACTTACTAATTTGGGTGACCTGCTTCTCTCATGCACAGGTTTCTATTAGCACAGGTCACAAGATAGTCAGGGTTCTGTTAATCTAAAGAAAATTTGCTGATTAAAAAGTCTTATCTTTTTAGTTACTTTTCTCAAGAATAGCTCATTCTGCAGTTATTAGGATACACAAGATTACTTATCCCCCCAGAACAAGGAAGATGGAGAAAAGCATCTTTCCCCTGGAGAATAGGGGTGATAACATTCTCTGAGGAATAGTTTTTAAATCTTTTAGGTGGCCTCAATTAGAGGTGTCTTCTACTAGGAAAGCTAACATGAGACTAATAATGTATTGTCCAACTTTGTGAATCAAAAATTAGTGATTTTTTTTTAAAGTCAACTAAGAGCAAGTGAAGCTAGAGGTTTGTTTAGATTTTGCCATTGTGACAGCTTCATTTGCTCACACACATTTAGGAAAACCCCAACACTGCTATTATGGCAGGAAAACCCATTCTTCACTACTTTGATGGACGGGCTAGAATGGAGTCCATCCGGTGGCTCTTGGCCGCAGCTGGCGTAGAGGTAAGTTCTGAGTTAGATCATTTTAAATTGGATCTAATATTCACTGTTATTAGATACTCTTCTTACGTAAGCTAGGTGATATTTCTTACTAGATACAATGTCAAGAATTCTACTCTAAACAACATTGCCAATTATTAAGAGATTCACAGACTTTATTAAATAAATTGTCAGTATTTTCATAAAAAAGATAAACATTAATGTAAAAAATATGCCATGATTTGTGGACCTTATTTGGATTTGAGTTTAAACACTATAGAAAATAATTCATAAGATGTATAAAAATTAGAAACATAATTATTGATTGAATATTGGTGATAATAAATTTTTATTAATGTTTTTGGTGGGATAATATATTAATAGTTATTTTTAAACATAGTTCCTGTATTTTAGAGAAACTAATTGAGCTATTTAAGAATGAAACACAGTCATGTGTCACAAACCTGTGTAGCATGATACTGTACTGAATATTGTAGGTGATTGTAACACAATGATAAGCATTTGGTATCTAAACATCAAACAGGCACAGAAAAAACGTGGTACAAAAAGAAGAAATATGAAACACCTATATGCAGCACTCTATCAGTCCTAGAGTTTTTTTTAGGTCTGGCAATTGCTCCAATTGAGTCAGTGAGTAAGTGGTGAGTGAAAGTGAAGGCCCAGGTCACTACCCAATGCTATAATTTGGATGTGAAAAGTTCCCAAAGGCCCATGTTTTAAAGGAGTGTCCCTAGCCTGAGGCAGCACTGGGTGTAGTGGAACTGTTTAGAGGTGGGGCCTACTGGGAGGAGTTCTGTGGCTGAGGGCTTGCTTTTGAGGGGGGTGTGGAATTGCAGCCCCTGTGTCTCTCTTGGTTTCCTGACAGCCAAGAGGTGAGTGGTTTGCTCCCCCACGTGCTGCCTGCCATGATGTTCTGCCTTGTCACCAAGCAACAGGGCCAAATGACCAGGGATCAAAACGTCTGAAACAGTGATAACCAAAATTAACCTGTCCCTCTTTAAAGTTGATTATGTTAGGTGTTTCTTAAGATAATGAAAAGCTGATTTAGCACAATGCACACTTTATGAATGTGTACACACAGGCTGCACTCAATTTATTAAAATGTTTTCCTTTCACAATAATAAATGAACCTCAGTTTACTGTAAACTTTTTACTTTACAAACTTTTAATTTTTTAACTTTTTGACTCTTGTGTAATAATACTTAAAATGAAAACATTGTACAGATGTGTAAAATATTTTTATTTCTTGTTCCCTAAGCTTTTTCCATTTTTTATTTTTATTTAATTTTATTTTTTTAAAACTCTTTCATTAAAAGTTAAGAAGCAAACACAAGTTCAGAATCAACAATATCACTGTCTTCTTCCTCCCCATCGGGCACCACTGGAAGGTTTTGGGGGCAAAAACATGCATGGATCTGTCACCTGCTATGATCACAGTGCCTTCTCCTGATCTAGCTGCTAAGGATCATTCTGATACTTGTAGTGAGGAGGCATCACTGTTCAGAATTATGTGCATGGTGGATTGCTTGTTTTGCTTTTTGTTCATTAATAAATACATAACTTTTCTTATTTATAAATATATGAATATATCATTTACTTGGAAGCAGATAATGTACTATGAAAAATTCTCACTATTAATGAGAAAATTGTCATTTGAAATTTATGTTTTCAACTTTTAAAAAATTTGTTTTTGATACAGGCAAATCTCAGTGATTATAATTCTATATTTTTTAACCACATTAGCTGAAATGCATACAATTTTTTAATATTTATTTTTTAGTTTTTAGGTGGATACAATACCTTTATTTTATTTTTATGTGGTGCTGAGGATGGCACCCAATGTCTTATGCATGCTAGGCGAGTGCTCTACCAATGAGCCACACCCGCATCCCCACAATTTTTAATTTTTTTACAGTGCTAGGGATTGAACCCAGGGAAGTGTGTATGACAGGCAAGCGCACTACCACTGAGCTACACTTGCAGCCCTTGTGTTTTCAACATTTTGAAGGATCTTATGGAGGTCTTCAAAGGCTTCTACTAAATGCTTCACTGAATTTTGTTCACTGATGTATTCACTAATCAATGGGAAATTTTCAGTTCTTTTATAATCTTATGGCACCATCTTTGTGTACAAAGTCAGTGATTGACTGAAACATTGTTATGGGGCATGACTGTACATGAAATCCAGGATGGGACTTCCTTTAAACTATTACCAGAGAAGAAGAGTGGGTGAACACCTAGATGAGAGCCTATTGGTAACAGTTGATAATTGTTCAAATTGGTGAGGGATAAAGGAGCAACAATATACTCAATTGTTTATTTTTATGAATGTCAGAAATTCCCATTAAAAAAGATCTAAATTCTACCACATAAGAAAATGAATGCAATTATACTGAAAATACACACCACAAATGTGAGGTGGGCAGGAGGGAGGAGACAGTAACAAACTGCCTCTTAACCATTGGAACCTATTCATTCAGCATAATTGTGTGGGCACCTGTAAAGAACCAGGTTTTGTAGTAGGTCCTGGGGATACACAGTGAACTAGACAGATGAGGTCCCTGCCCTCGAGCAGCCCACACATCTGTGATGGATGGGATCAAGCATTTTTCAGGATTGTGACCCATGCATTTTTCCTGACAGATGTACTATAAATTTCCAGATGGCCTTGACCAGACTCTTCCATGAATATGTCCAATCTCAAAAATTTTACCCCCTTCATATCATATGTAGACAGGAATGATTCAATCTGACAAGCATGCAAGGCGATTGAGTGAACTAATTAGGACTCATTTACTGTTTCTGCTCTCCAGTTTGAAGAGAAAATCATGAAAACTCGAGAAGACTTGGAAAAGTTAAGAAAAGGTAAGAACAAATATCTTAATACCTCTCAAGAAGGTTTCTAGTGGAAGACTGAAACACCAGACAATACTCATGTTTTCGTGAGGATGGCAGTGCTGACAGAGGAGAGGTAGAGAGTGGTTAAAATGTAAGACCTGGCAACTCTCTGGGGGCTCAAGAGTGAGACCATTGTGAGTCCTTGCTAAGGAACAAACTCAGGGCCCCTTGCATGCCCTCTCCTTGCCTTCTTCATACGCTGAATGGAATTGGCTCCTGACCAGTCGCAGGCTCCCCAACTTCTTATAAAATATCCCTGAAGATGAGCTAAACTCACAAATATTCAGGGACACACAATGTGTATGTATGGATGGGAAATTTAAACAGCTGTGAGACAAGAGGTTAAAAGTAAAGCAGTTGGATAAGTAAAAGAAGAAACAAAAACTAAAAATGAATTGGTGTCTTACTTGAAGATTTATCAAGTGATAATTTTTCCTCTTGTATCTTCAGTCATTCCCACAACTGTTTTACATTGTGGACATGAGTGACCACATTTCATTCTGTTTGTTTTCTCCTTCCACAAGATGGGAGTTTGATGTTCCAGCAGGTGCCCATGGTGGAGATTGATGGGATGAAGTTGGTGCAGACCAGAGCCATTCTCAACTACATTGCTGCCAAATACAACCTCTATGGGAAGGACATAAAGGAGAGAGCCCTGTATGGCATATTTTCTATTCTTACATCAACAGATAACATGGGAAGAATTTAGGTTCTTCCTTGAGTGAGAAAAACCAAGGCAGGGAGATCCTGAGGAGCCCCAGGCTGACCCTGGGCATAAACACTGAGGTCAGTATGGGAGAGTGCTGTGGAGATGCAGGAAGAGTAAGAATGGAGTGAATTCAGAGCAGTGTCATGTAGAGAGGACATGGTTCATAGAGGCTTGCAAATCCTGAGGAACTATGAATTCAGGAAGATGGTGGAATCCTGATTCCATTTGCTTTGGCTTTATAGGACAAACTCTATGCAATAGCTTGGTACAGGGAAAGGATTTGAGTGTCTAGACTTGAAGGCCTGAGAAGGAAGGGTCTAAAGCATCTGATTTTCCATTTCCAGAAAGTACAAGACTGACAGGCAGGAACCTAAGCTATCCTCTTATTCTACAAATGGGTCAACTGGATGAGGATTGGTGGAGTCTGGTGTCAAGACATGAGGGTGCCACAAAGCTTTCATGTAGACTTGAAGAAGTCCACTGATTCAGCACAGGGGTTTAGGTCTCCTCCCTCCTGGGCTGGAACTTCTTTATTGAAAATAACATCTTGAAGAAATCTGTGGAAAGTTCCTCAAAAATTTTAGAGTTAGTAATACCCTAGCAATTCCAGAACTAGGGATATACCCTAGTTCTGGAATAAAAATACATCCTGAGTGGTATTTGTCTACAAATATTCACAGCTGCATTGTCATAATACCCAAGTAGTGGAAATAAACTAAACATCCAATGGATGAATGGATGAAGAAAATTTCTTTGGTCATACGACGGAATAGTATTTGCTGTCCAAAGAGATGAAGTACTGATGCATGTAGCAACATGGATAGACCTTGACAACATTATATCACATTAAAGAAATAAGATCCCAATCACATTTTGTATGGTTTCTCAAGCATGAAGGTGAAGAACATTTGTGTCTACAGGGATGGAAAGGAGATTAGTATTTTCTGGAGCTAGTGGGAGAGGTGGTATACATGTGTTTTAATCTACCTAGCATGATCAAAATGTTCTGAAACTGGAGAATATTAATATTTGCAGAATTCTGTGAATATACTAAAAACATCACTGAATAGTAGACTTTAACTGGGTGACAACTATGGTGTGAACGTTTGTCAATAAAATTGCTTTTTAAAAAGAATTTTGAAAAACCCACTTGAAGCAAAAGAAATGAAGCTTTCCTATGTCATGAACTTACTGTAACTATATAAAGAATTGCAGCAAGTAGGGAACTTTCTTAGGTGGGGATACAAGAAATGCAATCAGGATCAGCTTTGGGCAACAGTATATGGAACAGATTAGAGAACATGAATTATGGGAAATAATTGGAAGCACTTTATTTCTAACATTGAACATGGAATGATCCTGAGCTATATAATAGAAAGAAGGAAGGAGAGGGACTTGTCTGAGAGGCTGGGCCAGGGACTCTGTCTTGAGTTTACCTAGGAGGCAAGTGCTTAGCCACTGGAATCACAGTATCTTTATGTTCAGAACAAGGCACAGCACAGAGAGCATAGCCTATATGTACTACCAGTGTTTGTAGATACCAAGTTCTCTAAAGTCCTTAACTTGTGATGGCCCAGTATGCTCTTTGGAACTGTATGTGGTCATGTATATAACAAAAATTTAGACATGCATTCCCTGTAGGTTGCTCAAAGAAATAAATGTTAATCTATAAATAAAACCCAGAAGATTGTAACTGGATTTTGAAGGGTCCTTACTAGAGGAGAATTAATTTTCTCCTATCTGATGCTTTATTCTCTTGTGTTTCAAAACTATAAAATGCGGGGCAGAAGGCTTTTGACAGAGTGTTTGTGTTTTGTTTTGTTTTTTTCCAGAATTGATATGTATTCAGAAGGGATGGCAGATTTGAATGAAATGGTCCTTCTTTACCCATACCTTCCATCTAGGGACAAAGATGGAAGACTTACTCAAATCAAAGAGAAATCGAGAAACCGTTATTTTCCTGCCTTTGAGAAGGTAAGTGGAATTGGTTTCACCTATAGGGCACCCTCTAAATTGAAGATTGATAGGATAAAACTGGGTCAGCCCAGTGTTCTTCTCAACTATATTGCCACCAATACAACCTCTATGGGAAGGACATAAGGAAAGAACACTGTACGGCATTATTTTCTATTCTTATTTCAACAAGGGAAGGATTTAGGTTATGCTTTGAGTGAGAAGGACCAGGGCAGGGAGATCATGACCAGCATCAGGCTGGGCCTGAGCACAAACACTGGCTTTCTCTTTATCTGGGTGAGGCTTGCTATTGATGGGACAGTCCAGTGGAAAGGAGGGAAGACTCATATAGAACAGGATGCAGGGGCTGGGGATGTGGCTCAAGCGGTAGCGCGCTCACCTGGCATGCGTGCGGCCCGGGTTCGATCCCCAGCACCACATACCAACAAAGATGTTGTGTCCACCGAGAACTAAAAAAAATAAATATTAAAAATTCTCTCTCTCTCTCTCCTCTCTCACTCTCTCTTAAAAAAAAATAGAACAGGATGCATTTCATGAATATAGCATAGCGACAGAGTTTAGAGGGCATCTTAGTTCCAACAGGTTATCTTAGTACTTAGGACTGCCATATGAATAAGGCCATATGTATTTTTCATAGTTCTGGAGACTGAGAAACGACAGATCAAGGACATGGTGGATTGGTATCTAGAAAGCTTTGCTTCTTGGTTCATGAATGGATAACTTTGGGCTGTGTCCTTCTACGGAAGATGGGTCCAAGTTCTCATTATAAGAGCATTCCTTAAAATGTGCCATTCCTGAGAACTCTTCCAACAGGACCTAATCATGTCCCAAAAGCCCAACCTAACAGCATTGGGATCACAACATATGAGTTTGGAGGGACTCAGACATTCTCCCCATAACAGAAGCAGGAGAAAAACAGTGCCTTGGATTCCTTGGACATTGATCTTCACTTCCAGAGGGCCTTCTTGCATACTGAGTTAGTACTCTGGCACTGGAGGAATTGTGTGAAGATAGACTGGGAGAAAGGCTTGCACTAGTGATACCAAGTTGAAAGTTTTAATTACTGGGACTCAAACTAGAATTCTCTATGTACAGAATTCATAGTATAGAATTAACCCTTGGGCGGTGGGAAGTTCTGAGCACACTGGAGGTAAAGCTAAAAGAGTGCTTTAAATTGTAGCATAAATATGATATTGTGTTTTGTTCTTGTACCAAGCAATTGTTCATACTTCTCTGTGTAAACTTAATTTGATAGGGTGGCTGACAAAATATTTTTTTTAATTGGTAGTGCCATGGGTTTTTTCTCTTTATTCTTCCTCATTATTGCTGAGATATTTAAACAAATATCACATATTACAAAAAAAATTTTGTGAAAATTATAATACATTCAGAAATTGACAGTTTAAAGAATCCATATGTGCCCATCTTTGAGGTAGCAGAATTTACATCGTATGATGTACATTTTATCATGTGTCCATCTCACCACTCCTGTCTCACCACATATTGCTTTGCCCATGCATTTCAGACTAAGATGCAGATGTCAGTGCAGTTCACTCCTAGATAATTTAACGTGTATTTTGTACCATCATGCTGAGCCAATATCACAAAAATATGATGATTCAAGTCATGTGTGTGATGTGTGTTCATGACCTGACTCCTCCTATCTTCAGGTGTTAACCAGCCATGGGCAAGACTACCTGGTTGGCAACAGGCTGAGCAAGGCTGACGTTCACCTCACTGAACTTCTCTACCACACAGAAGAGCTGGACTCCACTGTTCTGGCCAACTTCCCTCTACTTAAGGTGCTCTCTCTCAAGTCCTCACAGAGGCCCACACCTCCATCAGGAAACTAACATCTAAACACTGGGGCTGCTGGTATTCTGACTTCTATCCATCTCCAGTCTTCACCCTCCCTTCTCTGGCCTCCAAAAAGATCTTCTAGGCCCTGGTTCTGAGGAATGAAAAGAATCTTGCTATGCAAGGACATTTGAGGTGGATGCTACTCTAAGAAGTATATTTGGCTTTGTATAATAAGTGAAACCAAGGGCCTAGCTTTCTCTTCAAAGCCCCTATTCCATTTGAGTTCTATCCATGACTTCCTTGGGAATCCCTCCACCCCCCGTATGCCCTTGTTTTTCCATGTTGAGCAGGTCTCCTTCCATCAGTTCTCCTCCTTCCTCCTCAGGTTCAAAGCCTCAAATGTTATATTTCTCTCTCAATCCTCCCTCCCTTACTCCCACCCTCAGCAACTGCCATCTTTATCTCTCAGTGTGATAATTTGTAGTGACTGGCACCTGCATTTTGTGGTCTATTTCTATCATCATTTCTAACTCAGTATTACCATATCTTCTTTTCACCTGTTTGAGTGTTTCTCTGTTTCCATGTATGACAGGCAAATGTCACATTTTTTTCTTTATATCATACTGTAGCAATGAATTTATAGGATTAAAGTGTAAGGTGGAAGACAGGATGGCTAGAACTGCATACAGTTTTAAAAAGAAGTTGGTGAAGGGCTGGGGTTAGGACTCAGAGGTAGAGCGAGCAGGACCCTGGGTTTGATCCTCAGAACCACATAAAAATAAATAAACAAATAAAATAAAGGTATTGTGTCCAACTAAAAAATAATATTAAAAAAAAGAAGTTGGGGGAAATTGTCATTGAATTTTATTTTCTAGCTCTTATCTTTTTTTCTCATTGGTTGTGTTTCCCAGACAGCATGTTGGGAATGTCCAAGACTTCCTGATTGTGTTAATGGGTGTTGGTGTGGGCTCCACTCTCAGGCTGTGTTCTTCTGAATTGCAGGCCCTGAGAACCAGAGTCAGCAACCTGCCCACAGTGAAGAAGTTTCTGCAGCCTGGCAGCCAGAGGAAGCCCTTTGATGATAGAAAATGTGTGGAAATAGCAAGGAAGCTTTTCAGTTAAATGGAGGCAGACATGGAGACATACAATACTGGGCTTTATCTAAATGTTGATCCCGATTATTATGAGGCTAACAAAGTTTCCCAAAATTTCTGTGCTAATTTAGTTAGAAAGGAGCTATGCATATTTCTTTGCAATCCAGTCTATTTAGTTTTGGTGAAGTTTTATAACCATGATCACCACCTGGGATCTCTTTAAATTTGATAGAATGGAGAAAGTTTCTTAGGCACTGGTCTATTTAAAAATTATCTTATAACATCTCTCATGTATTATCTCAAAGAAAATTAGGTAGAAATTTTCATCTGATACTCTGCTTAGGCAAAAATATCTTTTTGTTTTGTGTTTTGCTACCTTTCTCACCAAAACACGTTAAAAACAAACCTATAAAGAACCATTTTCTTTCAACTTTTTTCCTGTTATTTGTTCAACCTATATTTATGTCCAGCATGAAATATTCTGTGTTCTTGGAACCAGATAATCAATGATGAAAAAACCAGATACATTCTCTATCATGGCAATGGATCTAGTGAGAGAAACAAACAAAAAAACAGATAAACTAATCTAAAATCATACTCAGCATGTGTATCACCTTCCTAAGGCTGCTACAAGAAATTCCTGCAAACCTGCTATGGTTTAAAATAATGGAAATTCATTCTCCTACAGTTCTGGAGCTAAGTGGGAAGTCCAGGTATGAGCCGTGCCGTGGTCTCTCTGAAGGCTTTATGGAAGGCTCCTTCTTAGCCTCTCCCTAGTGTCTGACAGGTGCTGGCCATTCTGGGAGTTTTTCAGTTTTTTTGTCACAACACTCTAATCTCCTCTTTCATGGTCACAAGACATTCTCCCTGTATGTGTTGTCTGTCCAAACTGCCCTCTTCTTATGAGGATACCACCAGCTGGATGAAGAGCCACCCTATTCCAGGGTGACCTCACCTGTATTATTTCTGCAGAAACCTTTTTTCCAGATGAGGTCACACTGACAGGTAGTCAAGGGTAGGACTTAAACATAGCCCTCTCATAGGACAGATTTTCTCCTACAACACCATGCTCAGAGGAGTTAATGTTGGGAGGGCACCATCAGTAGACATCTGCTGGGATCTGTGGGTGAGACAGGTTTCTCAAGGAGGGGAGTCATATCTGAGGTGAGATGAGCCCAAGGGACTATCAGTGAGGGGGGTGGCACCAGCACTGGGCAGCAGGAGTAGAATCCAGGCAGAGGTCAGCACAATCAATGGCCATGAAGAGACAGTAGCCTGGGGCTTACTCCATTCAAGGAATCAAGTAGTTCAGAAACAATACCTGAAAATCTGAATGGTCCTCTGCTGCCATCTGCACACACTGCTCCTGCTGTCTCACAGACTCCCTGATCTGAGGTTTGGTCAAAACGCTGGCCACCATTTTTCCCCCTGAGCAGCAGCATTCACATTCCCTACAGGAAGGGAAGGAAGAGGAGGTCTCCTTCAGGTCTGCAATCTCAAAATATAGATTGAGATAATTAGTCATTTGTCCCATGGCAAGCCCATGGAATGCAGGCAATTGAATCTGGGGCTTAGTTTCTGTTAATCATTTTTGTAGAGTGAGCTTCCCCACAGATGGCTGTAGCAGGGCGGAGGGTGTCCTGGGACCCACGGCTCATACTTTTTAAATGTCTGTTCAATATTAGCTCAACTGAGACCAACCAAGATGTTCCTTCCTAGACAGCTTCCTAAAGAGTTCCCAGGTCCCTTTGCATATTCACCTGCTTGCTCTCACCTGGAGACTCCTCAGGGAATTAGGTGTTAAGTGTCTTTTGAACAGGACACTCTTAATCGGCCTTGGGGACAGAACCAACATATTTTGTATTGTGATGTACACGATGGAGGTCCCAGGCAAAATTCTACATTTTAAATTTTATATGTCCCTCAAAAGACCCTGTCTTAGGACTTATTCCTCAGCTTGGCACTACTGAAAAGTGGTAGAAATCTTTAAAATGGAGATTTTTTAAACTCCCTGGATGTGTGACTTTGAAAAAGATTGTGGGAAGCCAGTCCCTTCCCTCCCCTCACTCTGCCTACATTCTCTCCTTTCTTCCTGGCCAACATGATTTGAGCAGTTTTCCTCGGACACATGTTCTTGCCAGCCATGATATACTGGCCCACCACAGGAACAAAAACAAAAAGGTCAAATGAAACGCCTGCAACTGTGAGCCAAAATGAACCTTTCCTCTTTTAGTTGATTACCTCAGGTCCATTGTTATGGAAAGGGGAACTGACTAACACACTCTAGAACAAAGTTTTTTTAACTCCCCAGATTCAGCATTCCTTAGCTTATTACATATATTTAGAATTTCTTTTTATCCTGGAGTGAATTTCCTAAGATTTACCTCATTGTTCTTGGTGCTAGGAATACAAGATTGAGGAATGCATAGTAAACCATGTTGAAAAAACTTTGCATAAAAGGAATTACAAATCAATATGTCACACTGGGCCAAGGAGAGTCCCTCCAAGAAGCCAAAGAACCAGTCCAAAAGAGTGGCTGAAGCCACACATGGTGGTACACACCTGTAATAACCAGCACTTAGGAGGCTGGGGAGGGAGGATCTTAAGTTCAAGTTCAGACTGGGCAACTTAATGAGAGCATATCTCAAAATAAAAAGTTAAGGGCTAGGGATGTGGCTCAAGCGGTAGCGAGCTCGCCTGGCATGCGTGCGGCCCGGGTTCGATCCTCAGCACCACATACCAACAAAAATGTTGTGTCCCCCGAGAACTAAAAATAAATAAATAAATAAATAAATATTGAAAATCCTCTCTCTCTCTCTCTCTCTCTCTCTCTCCCCTCTCTCACTCTCTCTTTAAAAAAAATAAATAAATAAAAATAAAAAGTTAAAAATGAGTTGGGGTATAGCTTTGTGATAGAGCAACCCTGGGTTCAATTCTCAGTACCAAAAAAAAAGAAAAAAGAAAAGAGCAGAGAGGCAGGCACTGAAGAAAGTTGAATGAAATGCCTATTTATAAATATAAGTATAGGATGAAGATCCCTCAAGTGGGGATTGGAGAACTCTGAAGCTGGCAACAGTAAGAAGACTCTACCACCCCATCCCTCAATGAGAAGTGCAGAAATGACAAGGTCCTAGTATAGGGACCTAGGAACACACTGAGAATCACACCTCCAAGATGGGCCACCTCCCAGAGCCTGATGGCCTTCAGAGAGAAAGGTACCACTGTCAAACTAAACAGCCCAGAATGCAGGGACAGTTTATGAAATCGCAATATGACTCAAAATTGGACAATGACTAATGACCGATTTGTTCCACAGCTTTATCCATCTTTATCTGACACATCATTTATATTAGTTAGAAAATAGGAAGAAATATAATTTTAATGTAAGATACACATGTAGATTTATATATTGTCCTTTTTTAAGAGAGAGAGAGAGAATTTTTAATATTTATTATTTAGTTTTCGGAGGACACAATATCTTTGTTTGTATGTGGTGCTGAGGATCGAACCCGGGCCGCACGCATGCCAGGGGAACGTGCTACCACTTGAGCCACATCCCCAGCCCTATATATTGTCTTTATCATAACAGATGTTAAATATTTTTAATGTTTCTCCTGGTAGTCTGTGATATAAAAATATAAAGAAATGAACATTTGATTTTTAATCTTTATATCATCCACCATTTTCAAAGAGAAGCTGTGTATGTGTGTATATTTGAGGTAAATGTGGATGTCAACTTATCTGACTGAACTAGGAGGATTAGTTCAAGATGTGAGGAATTATTTACGTTCACTTATCAGTTTTCCAAAATATTGTTGAAGAACATGTGTGTATTAGCAGTGTTGTGACAACTAGAGCTACTTAGATGGGGCAGGATGAATCAGCACAACTTTAATCTTTGTAGACTTTGAAACATTAGGCCTTTAAACTATCTCACACAATGTTTGTTTGCCTTTCCTCTAAACTCCCTAGCTATGTTTGACTCTATCTGTCCTTGGAAACCCTTAGTACAGTTGCAACATTCTAAGACAACAAGCTAACTAATAGAAAAATGTTCGGACTTTAACCACAGAAATAGGTAGACTTTCTCAAGGATTACGTTTCTACTAAGTGATATCTACCTGGTTTCATTCCTTATTTTACTTCATATTTACTGATCACCCATTGTGTTACCCAAATTGCTTTAGGCATACGGGCTCTCATTAAAAAAAAAAAAAAAAAAAAAAAAAAAAAAAAAAGGAATCCTGAATGACAGAAAGAAGCTAACACGTGAAGATCCAGGCTAAGACGACCCCATACAGAAGAAAGATGAAGGCAGGGAACTTGGTCAGGAACAAGTTTGGTGTTTTTCAAACCAGGAAGAAGGAAGGTCGGTGCTGTCGGATCAGGAGAGGAAGCACTGAAAGATGAGGTCAGAGAGGTGGGCACGAGTGTGCTAGCCATCTATTTCTGCAGAGATTGCCACCAAGTTTACTGGTTTAAAGCAACAAGCATTTATTATGCTCACAATCTGTGAATGAAAGTCAGGAATCTGGGAGCAACTTAGTGGGAGATTCAGCATCAGGATATCTCAGGAGGCTGCAGTTTACCTTCAGGTACTGTCGTCACCTGAAGGATTAATTGTTGGTGGTCCACTTCAGACGTGGCTCCCTCACTCAGCTGTTGGCTGAGTCCTCAGTTCCTCCCTGGAAGGTGGCACCAGATCTCAGTTCCTTGATATGTCTGCTCTTCTTTAGGGCTCTTGACTGTCCTTGTGACACTAATGTCCGAAGAGAGAGCAAGACAGAAACTAAAAGGTCTCTGGAACCTAACATTGGAGGCCAAACTCTGGAGGATGGTGGCAGACTGAGGAGATGGCCTGTGGGGAGGGCAGTAGGGAGGAGAAGGGAAGCTGAGTGGGGCCAGCCAAGGAGGCTGAGGAGGCTGCAACAGTGGAGTCCGGGGTACTCAGGACAGACAGCATGGCCTCATGAATCCAGGAGAGGAGTGTGAGCATTGAAGAGGGAAGATTGAATTGGGAACTTGGACACTGGTGACTTGGACAGGTCAGCTGCAGTGGAGTCGCAGGGACAGAGGTGGCCTGACTAGAGTGGGTGGAGGAGAAGTGAGAAGTGAGGAAATGGAGACAGTGGCTACAGAAAACCTTTCCCAGAAGTTCTCCCAAAGAGGGCAGAGGTATGGGACAGTGGGCTCTGTCTGTAGATGTGGACAGGGGGAGGTTAAA